AGAGGGGACCAGCAGGCACTGGGGGAGTCTCCAAGCACTACTAGGAGTGACTAGGAATAACAGTCACAAGCTGGCAAGGGGTAAATTCAGACTAGACATCAGGAGGCGCTACTTCACTGTCAGGGCGGCTAGGATCTGGAACCAACTTCCAAGAGAAGTGGTGCTGGCTCCTACCCTGGGGGTCTTTAAGACCAGGCTTGGCAATCACCTCTTTCCTGCCATGGCAGGGGGTTGGACTCGATGATCTGCTCAGGTCCCTTCCGACCCTACAAACTGTGAAACTATCTTAAACCAGTTTCAGCCATTTTGAAACTAGTTTATGCGCACTGAACTTTTGTTCTGTTACAAGTTTAAACCACTTTCTGATCACTTAAACCAGTTTGTGTGATGTCTGTCTGTAGCCCAAATGACCTTAGAATGAGGTGTGAAGGCCTGTACGGTTCCACACAATAGAATGTTTTTTTCAGTTTGCTTTTTTTTAAATCCTTAAAAATGTACATTAAAAATATTTAGTGAACATGGAAAGTTCTGGAATACCAGTGTTTGAAAAATGTGCCTTGTTTTATATATGCAAGTAGAGTCAGTAGTTTTATATTTACTAAAATCACTGGAAAAGACATGTTCTGGATGGGTTGATTTCTAATATGATATTCTGTTGAGTAGAGAGGCTTGGGAATTCTGTCATCACCAAACATTTCCCTAAAACAAAAAATAGCTTGTGGTGTAATGGTTTTTGTTTCCTTCTAGGTATTTACCTAGCAATGATTTGTTAAATCTCTTCAAATAAATAGTTACAAAAAGCATACGTTAATATGAAATTCAGTTGCAATGTCACACACTCAAAATTATGAAATGCTGGAATGTTATCATATTTAATCCTTGCAGTTTCAGGAAGTAGCAGCAAGACTGCCCCAAGTCCAGGAGCACTGCAGAGGTCACGCAGCGACATTGATGTTAATGCTGCTGCAGGTGCAAAGGCACGGCATGCTGCTGGACAGTCATCAGGGGCTGGACGTTTGTCTGCGGCTGGTCTACCTCCAGGGTCGTATGCTTCACTAGGTGAGGGGATCTGTGTTTACAGTAATTTTCTGTTGGCATTTGCCATAAGCAGATTGTAAGGCAAAAAATAGTCCTGTTCAGGAAAAGCATCAGTTAACATATTTTTAACAGACTTGATAGTTTATAGGCACCTTGTCCTTGAAGTATGTCATCTCTATTGTCTGAGTAGGAATAACCGCTCTCCTCCCTTTTTGGTTCAATTTTCTTTGGAAGGATTATTTTGACTCTAACTGGAGGGTTTGCAAGTGTACTTTAGACCTTTACAGCTCCCTTTACTGAGAAAGAAGGCCAGTGCAAAGAATACATCTTTGTAATGCTCTTCTAAGAGGTAGATCCAGATATGCCACATTCTCTAGAAGCAGATAAATGAACAAATGCCTTTTCTGTAGCAATCGTGGTATCTGCCAGTTTTTAGAAGCAGTGTGCAAGTCACCATTACAGACCACTCGCATTTAAAATTGTACTCAACATTTCTGTAGCTGACGCGTGGTTACATAAGTCTCAGAAGTGGAGTAAAATAATTTCATCTTTAAATCTGTCAGTGTTTTATACAGTGCCCAATGCAGGTATCAAGCGTTTCCTCCTAAGAATGCTGATTCAACTCTATTGTACTTACTGGCTTTTTTGGTGATGGCTAATTCACTTTCTTTAGACAAAAAAGTTCTGCTATGACTTTTTTGCCTGAGCAGATGTCTATCACAGATGGCATTTCTACAGTTAGAACTGTTGCCCATCCCAGTCAGACCCAGCTTTTTGCAATTGCACCATCAGTGAGGAAGCATGAGACACCCTTATGCAGACTGTTTTATGCTCTGGATGGTGTCAGGGAGATATAACTTTCACAGTACCGCTTCATTTCCCTTCATTCAAGATACCATCCAGAGTACCAAAGAAAACCTAGAAGCAGATAGTAATTCCAGTGTTACCAAACACAATCAGTAAAAGTGATGAAAGAGGAGGGAAAATGTGTGCGTATGGTCCTTTTTTTAATTTGTCTTCTGTTTTATGAGGCTTTAGGTGGGTTTCAGCAATGTATTCAACCATTTTTGCAAACATGAAAGCTGGAAACTTTTTTGAGAGCTAAGATCTTCACTAGAACAGTGCCCACCCCCCCCCTTCCCC